TGATGATCCACCCATAAGGTATGGATTCATTGTCATTTGTAATGATTCAGCTGCATTTGGCATTTGAGAAAAATTTGAAAGTTGGTTTCTTGTTATTTCATGTTGTTGAAGATAATACGGGAGTGGTATTTCATTTTGCATTTGTGATGGTTGATACGAGTGTGTAGTCATTGGATTTTGTTGTTGAATTGGTTGAAAAGATTGTGTATTAATTGGATTTTGTTGTTGAATTGGTTGTTGATATTGTGCATCTATTGATTGTGGAGAAAAATTTCTATGATTTGTACGTGTTTTCTGTATTCCTTGTCTACGATATTCTTGAGTATTTGGTGCAAATATATCTGGTTGTAAGAAATCTTCATCTGAGGATAAATAATCCATTTGATAAGATGTTTGTTTTTTATTTTTATTTTGTTGAAAAAATGGGTAATTTCCACTGCGATCCTGTGGAGGATTTGGTTGAAAATTTGTGGAATTATATTGGGCCGTTGGGTTATCCCAGTTTCGAGGTTTTGTATATTGATTAAAATTCCTTTGTGGTTGATAATTTGTTTTTGATGGATGTGTATAATTATAATTATGGTCTGCAAAGTTGTTTCTAGTGAATGTTTTGCGTGTTTTTGATGGTATTGTCATGGGTTTGTATGTTTGGTAATCCATATGTGAATATTTAGGGGCAACCGAAGGTTTAACGGTTGATTGTAAGGTTACCTGTGTTTGTGAAGGATTTGTATTTCTTGGTGTTGTTAAATTTGGGCGTATTGGTGAAATACTTTGTTGTGTAGTTGTTGTGTGTACAATTTCTTCATTTATGAAGTGTGATGGTGTCTGGATATCTTGTTGAGTAAGATTCCTAGTTCCATTGAGGTTTTCATTGTGTATGACTGTAGAGTTTAAACTATTATTTTGTGTATCGGGTAAAAATGTATTATAGTTTAATGGTGTTGCATCAATTGTTAATGGTATTACTCTTACATAATCTCTTATGTAAGATATTGTACTTATTGCTTGACTTGAGATTGATTGTGGGAAGCTTATAAATGCTGGATGAGACCATTCGGGGTCCCAAACATAATCTGATTGTTCTGTGATAGCGGTATCATCGTTCGAATTTTGGGGTCTAAAATTTTTTCTTGCTTGTGCAATTAAATCAATATTGTGTGTGAAATAATCTATTATGAACCATGCTAAAATTTTTTGTAAATCGTGTTTGGTATGTTGTGAAACGTCGTTTTTCGTGAAATTTTCTTTAATGATGTTTAAATAACTAGAGAGTAGTGTGATTTCATGTCGTACTCTTAAATGTTTAGATGTTTCTGTCGGTGAGACATTTGTTAATGGGAGTTCATTTTCTAATATCGAAATATAACTATATATTAGTGCGAAAACTTCATTGGTGAAAATGGAGTTTGCTCTTTGTGAGTTATGGTATTGGATGCTTTTTATATATTCTGAAAAAACTTTTGAAAATTCTAAATCAAGGTCGTCTGTTTGAATAGTATATGTTCTATTATTATGGTTTGGGGAAGTGAATTCTATAGAGTAGATTCCATACTGTTGTGTTATGTTGCATATATCTTTTAGATAGTGATCTATGATTTGTCTTTTGATTTTTACATCGGGGAACTCTGTTTTACATGGACTGATTCCGGGTTCAAATAAATTTATGAGTAAATTTTGACAAAATATGTGTTGTCCTCTATCAGTATCTGCATCTACTATAAAAGGAAAGATTTCATCATCATCTGGAGTTTCGTCACCTGGGGTGTGCGTTGAACTCATTTTTTCGTTCGATGACTGTTAATATATAATTATTAATGTGTCGAATTGGTTGATTCCAATTGTATAAATGTACTGGTTTGTGTTTATACTGCTTTTTTATTCTTCTTTTTCCTCTTTGTGATGAATTTGAAGTTGTTTCTGAGTCAGAAAAATATAATTGATCGTGTTGTGGGTAATTTTTATCTATTGATTCTTTTAATTTGTAAAGTTCGTCTAAACTGTTGGTTTCTGATTCTGAAAATGCGTTTCGATTTTTTGAAAATCTTTTTCGTGTTATTTGTCTTTGTTTAGTTATTATTTTTCTCTTTAGTGTTTGTCGTTTTGTTCGAATGTATCCAACTGTTTGTGTATGAGGTGTGATTACAAGGTCGTATTTTTTGTTATCTATTTCACAATTGTGTAAAATGATTGTTTGTTTATTTCCTAGGTTTTTAAATGACATAAGGTTTAGAATGACGGATGCAAAAGGTTGTTAAATGATTTCTATTGACTTAAACTGTTAGTTCTTACGATTTTTTGGTTAGCTTAACCTGGGTCTAATTGTTCAGGGTTGGAGAGAAAAGTATATCGATTCCGAAGAATGATTTTTACTTTCTCGTGACTAGTATAAGCTAAGGTGTTAACTTACTTAATCTTACTTAGGGGTAGTGATTGTGTTCAAGGGTTGGAGAATAGTAAATCGATCCACAAGGTTCAGGTATAATTAGAACGCGAGTAGTTCGTTAGATACTATTTTAAACTTACTAAGTCTAAGATTTATCCTGGGTCTGGTAAGAGGAGGGGTCAAGTGAAGGATGAATAACCGAAGTTCTTCACTGTTTATCCTAATTTGAATGATTAGTTTTGTTTAAAAATTTCTATTAGTCTTGGGTTTTTAGAAAGGGTTGGGTAGTGAATCGACGTTTGAGGTCGTTAGACACTAATTAAGTGGGTGGGGGAGAACAAAGTTGTTCTGTTTGATCCAAGGATAAGCCTTGATGATCAAATTTAAAATTTAATTAAGTAGAAAATGATTTAAGATCCAAGGATAAGCCTTGATGATCTGATTTTAAATTAAGTGACTTTAAATTTTAATAAAGTTTTAAATTTGTGTAAAGGAAAGATTTAGTGTTTTGATGATATTAGTGGGTTTATGATTGCTGTTATGTTTTAGGTGATGAAGCTGGAACAACAGGATGATTTATGATTACTAACCATTTATTGTCATGCTACTAATTTTTATTTTTATTTTCCAATAAATATTCTTCAAACATGTTTTGTATAATACTGCAGAGTTTTAGGAAAACGATCTTAGATCTTTTTATCAATCGTTATTGTATAATATTAATTTGTTTAGCGCCTGAAATGATTTTGAAGATTTACTTCAAGGTTTTATGTTTGCAAATGGAAATCTAAATTCATTGCAAGTAGTATTCGAAATATAAAAGTTTGTTCTGGCTTTTGCCGAACTATCATATAACTATACGGCAAGTTTCTACTTTGTCGTATGTCGTCTTTGGTTCGATGTCTTCTTCCAATTCCGGGTAGTTCTATTATGGTTCGGAATATTGGCTCTGATCTATTGAGTCGGAGAGACATTTCAATTAAATTATTGTCGTATAACATTTTGTAAATGTTTTTGTCTAATTTCTAATCTAATTTTGGTTAATTCTAATCTAGTAAGGTCTTGTTCGAGACTTATGGTCGCACCAGATGAGTTATGACTGGGGTGTATAACTCATAGAGTAATTTCGGATAGGGTACACCGTCTGCTCGTCACGCTATCTTATTTTCGGCCGGATAGATTCGTGCAACTTCTTAGTCTAATACCGATCCTAATCTTACTCTTATACTATCTAGTCTCAGGTTGTTTAACTAGTCTCTGCTAGGCTCAATAGATCTAGGGTATACTGGTTTATTGCGGCTGCTGAAGTGCTCGGGAGAGTCCAACTAATTTCTAAGTTAAATTCAAATCTCTCTGGTGCTGAAATTACAAGTAACTTCAGCACTTACAAATAAGTGGGTTGTTAGTTAGATGGATCATGATTGGTTAATATTAAATACTTTACATTGGTAAAACATTTAATTTATCCAATCATAAAATATAGTTTAGATCAGGTTCCAAGTTATTTTTATGGCTGTAAAAAAAGGAAGTTGACGCTTTTGTCTAAATTTTTGTTAATTGAACTGATTTTACTTGAATAAAATCTAGTTTTAACTACAGTCATGTGTCATAGAAGTTACAACTTTTAATTTTCTTGCGATGAAAGAAAAAACAATTTTTTCTCCTCGTTTCTGACTTAATGGATGAAACTATTTTCTAAATATAGCTTATTAAAATGCCGTAAAAAGTTTTCAAGGCGTTATTTGGCCATTTAACTGGAGGGCGTCAGAGAGGTGTTCTTAGTGCCGAAAAATCCCGATAAACAGCCAAAACATTTTCAAATTTTGGACTTAACTTTATTGTTGGAAAACTAAGGATCTAAGCTAGACCCGCATATAGGTTTCACTTCAGAAGGAAAGAGCTAAAAATTTAAGCTCTCTGGCAGAAGTTGACTGAAAATTTAGCTACTTTTTAAAATTAAAATGCCAAAATTTGAATTAGTTGTTATTTTGTAATTGAGTAGTTTTTGTATTACTTTTTTTTGTGAATTGAAGCTTTTATGAGGGCCATGCCCAGTGCCTTAGATTTCCTATGATTACTTTAAGTCCGAAGTACTTTAATGTACGTGCTTCTGCTGTTTTTGGCATTAAGAACACTTCTCTGACGCTCTCTAATTAACTGGCCAAACAACGCCTTGAAACCCTTTACGGTTTTTTATCCGGCTATATTCTAAACAACAGTTTCATCCATTTTTGTCAAAACTTAAACGGTGAATCTATAGCAGTTGTAGAAAAATTGCAGAAAGATTAAAAAAATCCGTTCATTTCATCCCTGGAGTTATTTTTCTTATTTTAAAGCCGCAATGGAACTAGCATTGATTTCTCATTGTCGCAACTTGAACTTGTTCGAGCTCTATGCCACTATTGCATAATTCAAAAAAAAAGTAATTTTGCTGTTGGAATCAGAGGCGCTCCGAACAAAGTTTTTCTTATACAAATTTCGTTGATCAAAATAACAGAATTGAGTAGATTCGCCAAATTTAATTTCAATCGGTTATAAGAATCAATCTAAACCTCGCGCTGATACGTGATACGTAGTCTTTTAAATGATAGTTTTTCAAATACTAGTTTTTTAGACCCTTGTAAAAACGGCGCCGAGTGTCTTAATGGCGTGGATCAGTACTTCTGCGTTTGTCTGCCTGGCTTCCAAGGACACGACTGCTCGGACGAAATAAACGAGTGTGAACAAATTCACGAAATAAAAGCAGAGAATGGATCCAGAATCGAGACGTCAAATCCTTGCGTCAACGGAGGTCAATGTATCGATCGACTTAACAGCTACGAGTGTAAATGCGAGTTTGGTTTCGAAGGGAAGAATTGCGAGAAACTATTGGATCCCTGCAACACAACTTGGGAACAGTCAAAGTTCAGCTTCTCGTATTGCGCAAAACAAACTACTCAAAAATGTAAATCGGAACTGCAAAACGGAGAGTTTGTGGTTGACTGTTTTTGTAAACCGGGTTTCTACGGCAGTAGATGCCAGTATGCCGTGAACCCCTGTTTGAGTAAACAAATTGTTTACGGGGAGTCAGATGTCATTCTACAAAATGGTGTCCTAGATGTTTATGTGTGTGAAAATGAGGGATATTGTACCCCTCTACCTGTGAATGGAGCTGGTCACGTGGGCTCGAGGTCACGAGTGGTCAATGAAACTGACGTTTTTGTTTTTGGTGTGCAATGTCATTGCCGCGAAGGTTTCACTGGAGAACGATGCGAGGTAATTTGCTGCGTAATCAAATCGAAGTACAGAGCATCCAATAACATTTCAATCAATTTGTTTTTGTTTTTTCAACAAGGATAGAATATTAATCAAGTTGTATTAATCTAGAAATAATCAAGGGTTAAAATGTATCTGAGGAAAAATTTGCTATAAACCTCTCCTGGGTTTCCTGTAATCGCTCTTGAAAGGACTGTTCTGTTACTCTGTGTAATTTCGTCTCTTTAGATAGCCACTAATAGCATTTGAGCTCGCAGGAGTTTTTTGGACAGTTTCAAGAATTTACTGATTAAATGAATTTTTTGTGTTATTTTTTCTTCTGACAGGTGCTTCTGTTTAGATTGTTGAGCAAACATGTCCGGACAGCTTTTGCAGGCATAGAGGATCCTGTATCGTGGAATCCCCTGGACAGTTGAAGTGCAAATGCCACCAGGGCATGACTGGACATGATTGCTCCAAGCCAGACGTGGAAGACCGGTCCTTATACACGTGTAAACTCTACTCACAAATATCAGGCAGCAAAATATGCAATAACGGTGGCACTTGTGTCGATAAATTTAAAGCCGATGGTGATTTAGCTGAAGACGAATTCGGTTTTGAGTGCAAGTGTCCCGAAGGTTTCAGTGGACAGTTTTGCGAAAGAGTTGATGATTTTTGCAGCATCGAAGGGGCGAGCGTGTGCAAATATGGAATGTGTGTGAACGACAAAGACAGCTACAGGTTCGTCATGAATTTAATTCGCGCTTTTGAAGATTCAAAGCAGTAGAATGTGCTGAAATATCCGCTCTATTTTCCTTATTCGTTGCCCCCTAACATGATTTTTGCGTAGCATATTGAGAATCCCAAAAACTTTTGTATATGTTTTACTGGTTTTATTTCAAAATTCTGTTTAATCTATTAAAGCTCTATTAAAAATAAATCTAAAAAGGTCAGTTAAATCTTGCCTAAAATGTGACGATATATTTTAGGTGCGAATGTTTCGATGGCTTCTTGGGGGCCAAATGCGACCAGATCACCCCGCGATGTCCTCAAAACAAAGACCTAAAATGCAGCCCACTAGCTGAAAAGAACCCCATCAACTCACTTTTCCTCTGCCTATCTCTGGCTGCCCCTTTGGAACCGGAATGTGCCCTGGATCTCTCAGCTCCTGAGGTCCAGACAAGCGAGTGGTGTCCGAATGAGAGGTGTGGGCATGGGCGACGGGGGGCATATGGATCTACTTGTAACATGACTGCCTTGGGGTCCAAATGTCACTGCGCAGTTGGAAAGAAGGGGGATTAGTAAGTGTTTGTTATTTAAGGATTATTTATTGATGATGTCCGACTTTATTTTGCTTTTAAAGATTCGAACGGAATCGAATCAGATCAAATGAACTTTTTGTTTTATATTTTTTCAAATTTTCTCCGGTAGCGCAGATTTTTTTCACAAATAAGCCCTCTTTGATATTTTGGGCAAGCTTTTCAAGTCATTTTGGATACTTCAAAAAAGTAGATTTTCCTAAGGTTTAAAAATGCGCCTTTCCCCTCCAACCAAATATCTTGGATTCGTCCCTGGTCCTGAGAACAACAAAAACATACATTTTATCCAATTATGCTGAACGAACTTTCTTTCAGCGACTGTTCTGCTGCTTTGAACTTGTGTGACCCAAAATTGGCCCAATGTGACCCCTTGGGGACTCTAGACTGCGTTAAAAGTGTAGCCAATGAGTCGTGGATTGCAGACACTTCTGAGTGTAGATGCAAAGACGGATTCAAGGGGAAGTTCTGCAACGAGACAAATGACGTGTGTTTGAATAAAGACACGTGCAAGAACAATGGGTTGTGCACTGCTTTAGCTGGAGACGGTTTGTAGAAGTTTGATTGATGTTTTCTTGTACATTCAAATCTCGTTTGGCCTGAAGTTTTTTGTTCCTGACTCTTATCAAACAATGAATTCGCTTGATGTTATGCACACTCACCTGCCTAAATATAGACACAACCCCTCCCCCCCCAAAAAAAAAGTAGCTAGTTACAGAATTTCGAAAACATTTTTCTATTAGTTTCTAGTTGCTGTTTATTGGTTAAACTGGCGTCTGTTAGATTTTACGGAAGATTTTTTTCAAATGTTTATAACTTGAAATTCTTGAAGTGAACAATTTGAATAGTCTTTATTCTATTTTTATAGATAAGCACGTTGATTTATTGAACGATTTGATACCAAATCATCAAAAGGAGGTCGATTTCCTTTAAAAAATTGTTATGGGTGTGAACTTAGTTGACTGATCTGAATTCATTTCAGACTTTCGCTGCGCATGTCCGACTGGTTATGGCTGTAAGGACTGTTCATGTCTGGAGATGTGCGACCATAACCACGTGTGTCAGGGACCAGGCACCTGCATGATGGAACCACTTGACACTCCCAAATACCACAATCGTCAGTACTATTCCCCCACTTTGTTTTCATTGTTTCAGTTTAGTTTCAAGGGATTATGACAAGAGGGTTATTATAGATTTGCATCATTAACTGTGCCTTACTTAAACCAAGCGCAAATATTTGTAAATAGAGAAACTTTTATCATTCTTTTAAAAAGAAGCTTATGTAATATTGCAAAGCTTCAAGTATCTTATTTTGGTGTTTAAAGAGGTCGATGGTTCGAATCCCGCGGAGGAGTTTTCTTTAAAAGCCTTGTTAATAATTCTGCAAAATTTCACTCGACATGTCAAGTTGGTTTGCGCGGAGATTTTTTTCCTGGGTCAAGATGTTTGAATATGTTCGACCGATAAGCCGAGCAGCAATTTTTGACCGACAAATTGCGTTGGATATTCGATTAAAAAGTCAACGAAGTGTATGCTTTTAAATTTGAAGCTATCTTGGGGTATATTTCCTTCCTCAAAATGTTTTCAGAATGTGGTCTAGCTTCGTCAACTCTTAATTCTCGTAAAAGAAGTTAGTTATATGACGTAGGAATGGAGTAAGTTACAGACGATGGATAGGTTCTTCAAATTTGCATCGTCTTTTGTGGAACGGTCTGCAAACAACTTCGGATTGTTTAACTGGCAAATTGTCAAAATTATGGAGATGAAAAGAATTATCTTGATCTATAAATGAAATTTTGACAAATTTTATCCCGAGGATGTCGAATTTACGATTCTTTGATTTGAAGTCGGTTTCAATGCCTAGCTCCGCCTCTTCTGAAACGTTCATGTATAAATTGAAATATTAAAACAAACAAGTTTGATATTTTAAACTTAAAATAGTGGTATTCTTAAACTGTCTCAATTATTTTCAAATTGAATCCTGAACAATGGGCTGTTTTACTTACGCAACGCGCAATGATGATGCTTTATTGTGAAATATTCGTCAATTTACTTTCTATTTTTAGCGAGAAACGTACCTTATCATTTCTTTTTCAAAATCTGAAAACAGATTTTTATACTAAATTGGAGGTTCTAAATTATTTTACCATTTCATTGCAGTCGAAAACGTTTATCTTGATAGTTGTACATTTATGAAATTCTCCATACGTGAACGAAAAAAAGGTTGAGCGAAAGTTTTAGTTTTATCGCTGCAAACATTTCAGGCTACTTTTCCTATTGTGAGTGCGACGGTGGAGTTGGCGGCGACTTTTGTGACATCGACGTGAGAAATGAATGTGAGGTGGACCCGTGCGGGAATCGAACCCATTTCGTCGGAGGAGTGGTGGTAAATCGAAGCTTTCAATGCGTCGACAGACTAGGTTACTATGAGTGCATAGAGACTAGAACTTCGGAATCGACAACTCGTTCACCGTTCGTGGATAAAGAGAGCCAAGGCACGAGTACAGTTACGGTCATAGGAGTGGGTTTGGCCTCTTTGTTTGTGATCGCCTTGCTGGTAGTTTTGGTGATCAAGGGTTCGAGGGGAACGAAGACGGTGGTGAAAAAGACGTTCTACCCCGCTGGATGGCTCGAGATAATCAAGGGTAACTTCGGTCGCAAGCGACGCCGTGATGACCCGGCCGGAAACTACGAAATGGGGTAAGTAAAATCCAAGAAATTTCAGAACAGGTGACCTTTAAGAATCTCCTCAGCAATTCCTTCGTCTTCTTTATGGGACTGTTATTGCTGGAACTAGCAAAAACTTATTTAACGCTCTTGAAGGATGTTGTTTTGACGATATGCCAAAAGATTTAGTCAACGGAATCGTCAAAACTCATAGTTCGATCGAAGTTATCTATTTTAGCTAGGTTATTGTGTTTACGAGCAGCTAGTGTTTTAGAACGAACCTTCTTTTTTTTCTAATCTAACTCGCAAATAAAAGTGTTCACGAATATAATCACGATCTGTAATATTGGAAATTGCATAGCATCTGTTCTCGGCTTTATTTGTGGCTAGTGTTTGTGATTTATTAAGCGTCCGTGGCTGAGTGATTAGTGCGTGAGACTCCAAATTTCTAGGTCGTAGCATAGTAAAAACTCGGCGACGTCTCGGACTCGAACCTAACTAATTCGAAGGTTATTTTTACTTTTTCTTATTGCACTTTTTAGAACTCTAGAGCTGCTTTTATCTTCTTCTTGCTAGTGTATGCGAAGCGCTTCTTCGGCTTTGTGTTGAAATTGCAGTGATATCATTTAATGCACGGGGAGCCAATTTGTGAACATTAAAAGGTGACGATTATTTAGATAATTAACCCCCCCCCCCCCCCCCCCCGCGGCCATTTACACTGAATTATCCCTTTAGATAAATTTAAAGAAAAAGCAGCTTAGTGCAATGGAAAAACAGCTTAGTATTGAACTCTGGCATGTTTTAAGTTCCATGACAGAGGGCACAGAGGGTGACTACTACGGGGGGAGTGAGTACTCAGAATTAGGCAATGCGAGTAAGAGGCACAGACAGTGTGGGGACAGTCTCTCTCCCACCTTCGTGAACAAAGAGGGAGCAGTGGGCAATCAGGACCACCTGGCCGCATTCAAAAACAACAACAATAACGTCAATGGTGCAACAACAAATGCGAAGGTATATCTAATCTAATACTTGCTTACAGTAAAGTTTCATAATGCTTTTTATCGAGTTTTGGAACATTTTGTTACAAGAAATTGAAAATAAAAATAAACGTCAGCAGACGCTTACTTGCAAGTAGCGCAGAAAGTTTCCAGAAAAATAATGTTTACTGAGGTTATATAAACATCTAAAAAAAAACATTTATTGTTCCGGCTTTCGATACGAAAGTAACGGAATATGTGCTCGGGGTGGGTTTTTTTCTTCAGACAAATTTCGACTTTTAAACTAGCCATTTTTACGGATTTTTTTATCATTCAAACGGTATTGTTGTCCTGAGCTTAAATTTGAAAAGATATTTCTTCTGTGATCATTTTTCGTTCTGAATGTTCCGACTGACTTTTAAGGTTTATGGAGCAGTAATAACATTTAAAAAAATAACTGTAATAAAATAATATGAAATTTTTTTTAAAAAAAATTGAGATTTTTTGTGAGAATCATCACCCCACACGCCATATGAGAACAAAAGGATAGATTTCGCTCCTTGTAACAAATCAATTATGACGAATAGTTTCTTTCAACCAATTTGGAACGATTTCTAAGGCAGATTAACTCTCCGCTCACGCGTTAATAGCGCGAAATATATCGCGCGTTAATTGTCTCAAATTGGCCAAAATGGCAATCTTTAAACCCTCATAACTTTACGGAAAATGATCACAGGTGAAATATCTTTTCAAATTTAAGCTCAGGACAACAATACCTTTTGAATGATTTAAAAAAATTCGTCAAAAATGGCTAGTTAAAAAGTCGAAATTTTTCTGAAGAAAAAAAACCCACCCCGAGCACAATTATTCCGTTACTTTCGTTACGAAAGTCGGAAGAATAAAACAACTCAAGTTCAGAAATTTTCTAACACAATTTGTTTCGCCAGATTTTTGAAATGCATAATTTATACTCAGTTCGGGGCTTTATAGTTCCTTGCGCGAAAAAGTAGTGTGACTTAAGTTCATATTGTTGTTGTCATTTTTGCTGAATAGCATTGCGATTTATTGTTCCGACTTTCGATACGAAAGTAACGGAATATTTGTGCTCGGGGTGGGTTTTTTTTTTCTTCAGACAAATTTCGACTTTTTAACTAGCCATTTTTGACGGAATTTTTTTTATCATTCAAAAGGTATTGTTGTCCTGAGCTCAAATTTGAAAAGATATTTCGCCTGTGACCATTTTTCGTAAAGTTATGGGGGTTAAAGTGCCATTTTGGCCAATTTGGGCCAATTAATGCGCGATATATATTTCGCGCTATTAACGCGTAAGCGGAGAGTTAATCCCTCTTAGAAATAATTCCAAATTGGTTGCTTAGCTTAGCTTAGCTTACTTGCCATAATTGATTTGTTACAAGGAGCGAATTCTATCCCTTTGTACTTTATATGGCGTGTGGGGGGATGATTTTCATAAAAAATTTAAAATTTTAGAATTTTTTTTTTTTCATTTTGTTTTATTTCATTTAATTTTTTTAAATGTTATTACTGCTCCATAAACCTTAAAAGGCAGTCGGAACATTCAGGGCTTTGCCCTGCTACGAGCAGTCTTGTTAGCATATGTAGCTGTTTTATTGGAATTTTTCATGGGCCCGTGGTGCAGATGCGAGGACAAGGGACTCCAATTTTCCTGGTCTTAGGTTTACATCTGCCACAGCAAAAGTTTTTAAGGTTTATTCGTACCTTTTCTCATTTCATTTTTACAGCTAATTTTTGTCGTTTTCGCGCTTTCGTTCGCGAAGCGCTGCTTCGGATCTGTGTAAAAGGAAGGCAGACTTCACTATCGAGCAGCAAAAGCCACGAAAAACGTGATCGGACCTCTTAACTTCAAAAATGGATATTAATTTTCAGAAAATCTCGTTTTCTCAAATGGAGTTAATTTTAATTATCAAAAGGTTTCAATCAAATATTGCTCTTGAAGTTCAAAGTGCTTTAAGTTCACAGGTTTTTTTTTGAAACTCGAAACTCAGTGTTTTCAGTGTTTGTTTTCTGTTTCCTTGCGTTCCTTTACTCTTTTCCAACTGTCTGTTGGCTATGTTTCTATTTATATATGTTCGATGTGTGTTTCAGGTGTTGGTGGCTGGTGCGGATAATACTACCTCTGCCATGCTAGTTTTGAAGAACAGGGACCCCGAAGTGAGGAGACAGACCCTGCTCAGTCTGGTACAGGGGGGATACGACATGAACACTCAAACACTCTCGAGACGTGAGTATAGATACCAGTTACCATTTATGCGTCAGTGAGCAAAATAGATTTCTTTTCATGAGGTAGAGTTTTTTGTTGTTTTTGAAAGTTTTTTTTCGCACTTTTTGTTGCAGCAGTTTTTGATTTAAAAAGCTTTCTCTCCAATTGTACTTTTAAGCGGATCTAAAGTTTTGAGCTTCAAGTTAAATAAATTGAAAGTTGCCAAAAATATTAATTTTCAATTTAGTGTCAATTTGATTTATCATAAAAGTACATAGACTATTATTTTTTTCTGAAAAAAGTGTTAATCATAAAATTCCTGTTATAAGAATAGCGCTAATATGATGTAATTTATTCTCATTAATTGAGAAGCTGATAAGTTTCAAAATATAATTGTCATTTTTTGCTCTGATACCCGAGTTGAGTAAGGTTTGTTCCAACTGTCGTCTGGCTTTGTTGAATTGTGAATCATGTTTCCTCTTGAGCATGTCATGTGTTATTTTTCTGGCGCCTGTTTAGACGAGACAGTGTTGCATCAGGCGATACTATTGTGTGACGCCGAGTCAGTCCAGATCCTCCTCCGCTCCCCCTCCATCGACCTGGCCATAGGGGACCTGAACAACCGAAACGCCGTCATGACAGCCACCGCCACGGCCGATGAGAGAGTATTCGACCTCGTTTGTCGGTGAGTCACTTGATTCATTTTCAGCGTGAACTCTTATTTCAAATTGAGTTGAACGAATTTGCAATTGTGAATTGTTTTTCTGGTTCCAAGAATTTAACGAAAGTGAGCTAAGGTCAGTTTCAAAGAAAGTATTGAAAAGATCAGGTACAGTATTCGATCCAAAGACAGAACTTTTTCCGTCGAGCCTACCCAATTGAAATGAAATAGAGATCTTTTAAACTACTTCCCCCTCCGACATTGAAATTCACTTTTAGGTACAGAAACATATTCTTAATTGATGAATTAGTATTTTTTGGGTGTGAAGTTTCTTTTTTAGGTACCATAGAGTGCAATTACTTAAATAGTGTTTTCACTAATAGTTAGGTCTCTTCGTAGTAATTTGTTAATTTGTCTGAAGTGATGTGAGTGTTTGGGTTGATAGGGTGAGCACGCGTGAGATGATCAATCAGCAGCAGACAGATGGGTCCACTTCGCTCATGGCAGCAGTCAAACACATCCATTCCTCCATCATCCTCAGACGACTCATAGACGCAGGCGCCGACGTCAACCTAGGTATCCCATTTATCACTTCACATAATATCTGTCTGGTCGAAAAGTAGAACTTGTGTAAAAAGAGTCTGTTAACATCAAACAACAATTTTCAGCGGGCAAATCAAGCAGCAAAATTCTTATTCAAATATAGTTTCCGTTTTGCCCGCGAGATATGCATCAATTTTAAGCACGCCGCCAGATAAAAGTTTTGCGGTGGAATCATTGATTTTATGTAGTTTCATATGACGTAAAAATCAGGGTTGGCATGTTTTTTAACACTGTTATTTAACATTGAATTTAACTTAGTGTTATTTATAATTTCTAACAGTGATGTTAGCTATTTCTTAGAAATATGAGTAATTCTTAGAAAAACACAACGCAACTATAATGCATGATTGTTCCGAAACGATTGTAGCGAATCCCGAACGGATGAAAAAAAAATTTCAAACCAATTGCGGTTTCACTTGACAAACTACAGAGCGAAAAATCTCACCTGACGTATGGGAAGCTTCGTGCTCAACTCGGTGTTGAGAAAGCCGGAAAGTTGACGTTTCTGTTCAAGAAACCTAACTCTTGTTGATATGTTAATTTAATTAACAATTTAACAAAAATAACATGTTTTTTTTTCGATAAATAACAGTTAGTTTGTTATTTTTGTTTTTAACTTACATTTTGCCAACCCTGGTAAAAATGCGCTTTCAATTGGGTAAGTAACCAATATACAAGTTTTCATGACAATTAGACAGCATGAACAATAATTGCAGGCGGGGAATTTTTTCAGGCGAAGTCTTCAAATCTAGTCAATTTCCAAAGTTCGATTTCACTCCCACATACTTGGTTGTTTGATCTATCTGTTTGACCCTATCTTGAAGAATTAATAAGTTGTTTGTTTTCAGCCGACAAAAGAGGAAGGACTGCGTTGCATTGGGCGGCACAAGTGGGCAATGCAGAGGCCGTGTTAATTCTGGTCAATGCCAAGGCCGACAGAGACGCACAGGACGCCGAGGTATGTCTGATCAATTTCTGGCTCCCCTTTACTTTTTCCTGAAACTCAGTATAAGAAAATCTATTTCAAATCACGTATGTTTTATCACTTTTTATAAACTGCATTAGAACGTGCCAGTGTGAACAGGTGAACAAATTTTTACAACATTACTTTCATGCAAAGTACCGTGTGAACAATTTTTGAACAGCTTAATTTTGTGTAATCTTACGGGGGTGAGAAACTGGAAAAGAGCCCATTTTCTGATTATCTTTCCCCCCACTGTCATTTTTGTCAAAAGATTAAAACTGCCCGTACTGTAATGAAATTCGACGCGCTAGGTGATCGACCACCTCTTTTGCGGGTTGAGCTGAGATGAGAACTGCTGTCGTGTAACTGTTCATTGAGACCTAAAGGCACTATTTCTGGTCTGATAATTTAGTCTGAACCTCTAGCTACGGGCACGGATGATAGAAGTGGTTCTCAGAGAACGTGCTATGCTCACGATTCCAATAGCAGGATCAATTGAGCAATCTCCCCCCGTAATGACCAATTGAGCTATCTCCCCCCCCCCCCACAGCAAAACGGTAAAACGCTACAAAACGACGGCAGCAAACGCAAGTACATGGTTAATGTATTCGTAGCACGCAATCCATTGACCGAGTGAAGTTTATTTTATACGAGTTTCGAGAAAAATTTGAAAAAGAAAAAAATCGATTTTTTTTTCGAAACTTTTTTTTTTGCAAATTTTTGTTTGTGCGAACATGGCCTCATCGAGCAAAGCGACTTACCAGGTTTGGTGCTCTAGCCTTATATCTGAATATCAAAAACTGTTTTCGGCAGCATATTAAAATTGCTTTTTTCCATTTAGGACAGAAAAAAGGCGCTTTATGCGACCCAAGTTGCCTTAGTTTTGATTCTTTTTTCAATGTAATTTTTGAGCTTTGATATTGTTCCATTATAGCAATTGAGCAATCTCTCTCCCCCCCCCCCCCCCCATTCACGCGCGAGAATGGGGGGGGGGAGAGAGATTGCTCAATTGATCCCAATAGCAGCTTTAAGATTTTTTTAAAAAATGTTTGGTGTGATATCGAGCAAATAAAGTGAGCGAGGAGGCTTATTTAGAGTCGACTAACGTGTTTCAGACTCTTATTTAGGTCGGGATGATTTTTTTTTTTCGTTTTTTTTTCTCAGAAGTTTTTAAATTTATTCAGACTCAAATTTAATTTTCCGTGGTTTGACTTCTGATTTTGTTAAAAGTTAAGTTCATGTTCTTTGTTAAAAGGAAGGTTAAACCCACTATTGAAGAGCGAAAGCGTACAGGTCACGAAGAAACCTTGATCGACTTCTAATTTCGAATGTGGAATTTAATAATCAGATTTTCCAGCGAAATAAAAATTTTATCAGTTGATATAGTTTTCTCAAATTGGCTTTATTTTATTGGGAAAGTGTCAACCATAAATTCAAAAAGTTTCTAGAAATTCAAAGAGCTTTAAGGCCAGTTATTTCGTTCTTGGAAATTCGAAAGTTAGGGTTTGTTCAATTAACTTGCTTTCATTGACTGTGTTGGCTAGCTATGTTCATAAAATTCTAGGTCACTTGATTCTTGTTACCTTGATTCATGTTCGTTTTGTTTTGTTCACTTTGTGCACTGTTTTATGTATATAGGAGTGCACTCCTTTGATGCACGCAGTGAGAGAGGGATGTGTGGAGTGTGTGGTGAAGTTGTTGGAGTTGGGGGCAGACAGGATGGTGCAGAACAGGGACAAACAGACTGTGGCGGACATGGCACACAGTATGGCTACAGCTGCAGGGGGAACAGGCGGCGACATGCTGCACTACATACAGGTAATCATACGTATATTTAAGGTTAACACGTCCCAAACCACTTTTTCACGCTATTTCACACGTCAACATAAATTCAATTGACCTGAAAGCATTTTTTTTGGCCTATTGAAAGTATCAAAATCTTCGATGTTGACAAAATGACATTGACTATAAAAGTGATTATAATAGAATGCGATTGCTGTGTGATACGCGCATCAACAATGCGATTTTCAGCAACGTTTTTTGTGGTATCTGATTTGGTCTGGTAAAAAAACTTATTCAAATCCCGTACCCTCCCCCGTCGGCATAATTACCAACAAAATCGAATCAGCCTGGGCTTATCAAGATTGTTATTGTGGTCTATATATCGCTGTCCGTATTTCGTTTACTTCGCCTTTTCCACGTCTGGCTTGGAATACCTTCTTTTTTGCTAGAGGTGTGACCGGATCGAAATTTACCGGATCCGGATTGCATCCGGTAAAAAAAGAACCGGATTCCGGATTTCATTTAATTGTTTGTCAGTAATTTGAGTGCAGCTGTTGAAATAAAGCAACTTTTCATCAACGACGGTTTACTCACTCAGCGATTTTTCAATGACATTTTGAAAAACTGCCGGAAAATTGTCGGGCATTTTAGTCATTCGCCAACAGCTTCAGCCCGGTTTGCAGAGTTACAACAACAACTTGGTGTACCAGTGAAGAAACTTATCCAGGATATTCAAACACGATGGAACTCAACATTTTACATGTTGCAAAGAATTTTTGAGCAGAAAGCCGTCTTAGTGCAATACGCTGCCGATCATGACATACCTCACTTTACAGCCCAAAATTGGAGCATGATTGAAAAAGTTATTGACCTGTTACAACCTTGTGAGCAGTTAACTCGTGAAATGTCATCAGACGACAGTTCGACTTCAATTGTCATTCCAGCTTACAATGTACTTCGTCGTACATTGATGGCAGCAGATGACAAAGGGATTAAAACAATAAAAGAGTCTCTCTTGGAAGCATTGGACACCCGTTTTGTTCCTTACACGCTGGATACGAAGTACGTAACTGCGACTATTTTGGACCCGAGGTTCAAATCATCATTTATTGGAGATGGTATGCTGAGTGATGCAAAACTCACAATTAACTCTAGAATAGTTGACACTCAAGTTACCCAATCTGACGACGACGAAGTTGTGCCGGCGAAAAAATCCATGTGGGATTTTTTGGAAGAAAAAACAGAATCCGCAAGCAGTTCACGCAATACAGATCAGAATGAGCTTGAGCAGTATTTGGGAGAAGCAAAACTACCGCGGTCCGCAGATCCACTAGAATACTGAAAGGACAATAAAAAATTCCCAAAATTGAAGAAATTTGCTCAGTAATTTTTAGCAGCACCTCCGTCATCTGTACGAAGCGAAAGAGTGTTCAGTGTGTCGGGGTTGGTCAACTCGGACAGAAGAAACCGTCTTCTACCAGAATTTTCCGAACAGCTTGTTTTGATTCATGATAACTTTTTACTTCTTCAATAATTTATACATTGAGTAAAATTTCTGTGTAACAGCTTGAATAAAAACAGTTGCAAACTTATTTTTTTACTGAGAATTCAACAAATTTTAGGCGAAACAAATCCGGTAAAATCCGGTTACTTTTTACCGGATTTCGGATCCGGATTGACATCCCAAAATTGCCGGATTTGCCGGAATCCGGTACATCTCTATTTTTTGCTACTTCTGACTTGGAAATTGTGGTCGTTGAAAAAATCAAAGTCATTTCATTTCCGCATATGCAAGGAAGCATCAAGATTCTACAGTTGAAAGCTAAGCTTAAAGTAATTTGAACATGCCTTGAACATATCCGTTATTTCAATTAGCTAATTAACATGGATTTCTAAATTTGCATCTGGTTTAGAACGTGATGCCGATTCTCGCGCTTCCAGACATGCCCAGCCAGCGCAATAAGAACAACCGCAAACAAGCGAAAGTGCGCAACTCCAAAAATGCACCCAAGAAACGTCCGGGCGAATTCGTCCCTGTCATGCCTCAAAATGGTCTTGTTGACCCCTCTGGAAAACCCATCCATATGGGAATTGTCAATCCTTCCAATTTGTTCATGCTTCATCAAAACCAAGACGGCAGAATACCCTTTGCCCAGCACCCCAATTTGCACGTTAACCCTAATTTCGTGAACCCGCACCATCTAAATGGGATCCAGAATCCCAACGGAGGGTCGCCCGGTGTGATGGCCAAGACCCAACACGCATTTATGATTTCTCCCCCAAATAACGGAGCTCAATGTCAAACTGTGGTTCTGACTCAAGATCCATCTTCTGGGCGATATTTCCACGAAACAGTCCCAAATCAGATGAATGCGTCGACTCCTATTTTCGCGAACCAACCACCCTCATCAAGTGCCCAAATCAACCCGAATCATCAGGGGCAGCAAAATGGGGGAACATTCCCGATGCCTCCTCCTTCGATTTGCCCGGTGTCTAATGTTTCTCCTATTAGCAGCCGACAAGGGGCTTGTATTTTGACACCAAGTGGACTCAAAATGCCAGCACCCAGTACGGATTTCTGCGAAAGTTGGAGTGAAACAGTGCCTGTTTTGGTGAAGCAGGAAAACGATGGATCGCACCACCGGCCGTTTCATTGCACTCAAGCTAGTGTATATGAAGATCAGGATGATAACTACGAGAAAATCAACTATGATTACGCTCATTTGCCCAAAGTAGTATCAACAAGCAGTCTTGCAACGCAACAAGCTGTCCAGAACCAGCAGCCGATTGCGAATGAAAACCCGACTGCCGACTGTTCTAAGATGCTAAATGTGGTGACCAGCAATGCTAACGAGCAGCAAGCGATTCATGGGTTACCGCAAGCTAACCTTGTCTCACAAGCTAATGGTTCTGTGCAAGGTATTCAACAAACGAGTGTACCCCAAGTCAGCAGTGCAGGACCCATTTTGTACCCTGAAGTACACAACACCGTATACGGAAACATGCAGCAAATACCTTCGGATGGATTCCAGCATCATCCGAGGTACTCTATTGCGAGTAGTGTCGGGTACCAGGATATGAGCCGAAATGTGAGCGTCGGAAACCCTCCGAATCATCATCCAGGGGGGTTGAGACAGCAGTCTCAGATGCAACAAAGCTTGCCTATTTCTGCTGAGTTCTCCAGTAACTATGGTCGCAACAGTTCCTTGTCGGGACTAGATTACGATTTCAACAACCCAGTTTACCAACCGGCCCTGAGTCATACAAACTCTATGACCAGAAACAACACGCAAAGTGTGATCACCAATGGCCGCCTGGCGAATACTGGAGCACAGAGCTTCCAGTTTTCTATGCAAAATTTGCCTCTAAATGGAATGAATGTTGAGAACGGATTTATGAATTCGACTAATACCGGAGTAGATAGAATGTTGAATGCCCATAATGGATACGCTTATAACGAAGAAACGGCAGTCGCTCACTTCTAAGTTAATGTAGAAAAATCTTCAGTCTTCCTTGAAACTTCTGGAGAGTCGTATGTCTATCATTTTTAAACTTCATTCGCATTGTTCGTTTAAAACTTCTAATTTTGCATACCATATTTTAGCATAAAACAATCATGTTTTAAATTTGATTCACTGCGTTGTAATTTACGGCAGTTTCTGCTCTTGCCAAAAATTTAATAAAATCAAGCAAATAGCAATACTTTGAGTACCCCCAGCTCAGATCGGCTATTATTTTATTTATCATTTGTAATTTCTCAAAGAAAAATACGATGTTTAATTCTGTTTGTATTTATTGCTCAGTGTTTTAATGTTACTTTGCTCGTTGATTTCATGAAATATTATTTGATTTTGTTCAAAATATTTGATTTGTGATAACGTCAAGAACTTGTTCATGTCTTGAATCACCGTTTCGATATTTTACTATGCAATAGACTTATATTTATAATCGAACTTTGAGTTTTAGTAAAAAAGACTTTTCGATCAATAAGACTGCTTAGTGCTGAGAGGAGGCGGAGCAATAAGCAGAATAGTCCAAGTGCAGAATGGGTCCAAGAGCAGAAAAACTGAAAATTTTTGACTTATATTGGTTTATACGGGCTAATTGATAAAAACAATTATTAGAATCGTCAAAAACTGCTAAGAAAACGAAAAAATTATGCATGAATTGAATAATTTCATTAAGTTTTTTGATTAAATCTTTTTAAAAGTTCTGGATTAAATTACTCAAATTATGCATAAATTGTTAATTGCTTTGGTATTATTGACATTTCTGATAATTAATTTACAGATTAGCTAATAAAAGCTGATATTTTTCTGCTCTTGGACCCATTCTGCTTATTGACTGGCCACCGTGCTGAGACTACTTTGTGCTTGAGAATAAAACTATACGTGTGGATTTATGGCTTGAGTAAACATTTTGCGTGGCTTTTTTGATCAAAAAAAGTAGAATCAGGTTTTTAAGTGTTAATTAACGCAGTGAAAGCTTTTAAATAGGTCGTGATGATTTTTTTTAAATGTAAAAGAGCGAAGCGATTTTCACAAATAGGTCTTGATGATTTTTTGTTTTTAAGGAAAGTCTTAAACGCTCAAATATCTCCATTCAATTTTAATGCATTTATGAGTGTACTTGAACAGGGGTATATATGCACTTTCTGACATACTTGTCAACGAGCCGGGCCGCCCGTGGGCCTCAACGGGCCGGGCCGAGGTTTTCACTTTTGTCAACGGGCCTTACTTTTATTGACTAACCAATGTTATGTTTCAGTGCGCACTGTACAGCTTGCAGTGTGCTAAACGACAGGACTACTACGTTCACTGCCGATTCACTGCAGAAACAAATTCGACGTGACACATGAAAGTTTCTGAGTTTAATTTAAGTTCATAAGCTAAAAGGTAGGCGAATTTCACTCCAATTACGAAAGCGAAAAATGCGAGAAAAAAGTAATACATATTAATGCATTTATACACTTATGTTTACATTTTTTGAGTTCAATTCAAGATCATTTGCTAAAATGAAGGCAGATTTTACTCTCCAATTACGAAAGCAAACACGGCTGGGAAAAAAATGATCAATATTTTGAAAAGTGATCTTTAATTTTAAGATTCCCTACATTTCGAAAGTTCAAAATGTTGCGATTTTTCTAACTACGTTTTTTCGGTTTACATGTTCTTAAACCACGTTTCGAATTTTCTGTTGGCTATTTTTTCTAGTACAAAGTCCTATAAAAGTTGTTCACGCTCAAACTGGATTTTTAAAAATCTGACTCAGTTCATTTCCTTTGTTAAAAGGAGGGCAATCTGCACCATCGAACGACAAAAGTAAAAATGTTAGATACAACGGGATTGAGATTTAGTTTCGAAAGTGGATTAGCATGTTCAGATATCTCAGCTGGAAAAAAAATACGCAATGATCCAGTGTTTTGAAATTGAGTTTTTTTTGTCACAGTGTCAAAACTTTTCAATTCACAAGAACTTCAAAAAAGTCTAGTCAGGTATTGTTTTACTTCATTGCAATGAATGCAATGAAACAAATAACTTTTTTTTTACAACTGGCTATGTTTAATTTAATTGCTTTTCAGCCCAATTTTGGGCCCCGAATAATTATTTTTTTTAAAGTTATTTCAATGTAAAAATGCAGCTATTCACCGGTAAGTTGTTGTCTGTGCTCGGGGTGGCTTTTTCGGCGGACAAATTTCTACTTGATTAAGAACTTTGGACGCTTCACGCTGAGCTTAAAATTAAATCGATATTCTGAAACTTTTAATTGTAAAATACGGGGGTTCGGCAATTGCCAATTGAGAATACTTAATGCGTTGTGAAAATCCTCTAACTAATAGCGCAAGCGGCGGAAGCGAAATATTTTGTCTCCGAAGTGAGGCAAGATAATTGGTCCAGATAACTCGTTACTGGATGAGATTTAATTTATTTTGTACTATAGCGTTGGTAGGATAGATTTGATCTCTTTTCCACCAAAAACTAACTGAAACTTTTGTGTCTTTGCAAGTAGTAAAAATTTCAGAAAATAGAGATTGTGTTTTGAACATTATCTTGCACGCCACTTTTTTTTCTTTGCTCTAAATTTGAAAGGTGACAGAAATTTTGTTATCGGTGTTTTTTGAGACTAAACTGGATTCAATATAACGATCTGGTGTACATCTGAATTTCGTGCAATCCTATCGTTAATCCAAGTTGAATCTTTTTGTTTGCGAAGTACCTAGTAAAACTATTTGATTTTTTTTTACTCCATTTTTTATTTTTGCTTCACAAAAAAAACTGCTCCTAAGGCAAAGGCCTAAATTTTTCGACTTTTCATTAAAAAACTGGTTACGAATACTTTTACTTGTTAACGAAATGTAAACAAACTATGAATTTTAAAAACCATTAGACCATTTTTGAATATGGAACTACTTTTTTGATGCGCGTTAAACTAATTTGCAGCATAAAAAAGTCACAGCGCTCGTTTAGTCACGTTAGTCTATTACTGAGCGTTTCAGAGCATTCATAAACCAAGATAGTGTAGTGCTGGTGAGCGCGCTCCCTCTGGAACCACGAAAACCCATGGATCGATCCCTTGAATAAAAAAATTTCTAAAGTTTGTGCGAATAAAAAAACACCAAAGCATGTATATTCCTTACTTTCTTCGAAAGTCGGAAAAATTAGGAAAAGTTTGAAAATTTCTGACACACTTCACATCCTTTTTTTCAAAATTGAGATTTTTATTTTCTTTAAAATTACAGTCCGAAAAATCCGCACAGCAATATTGGTGGTAAAATTGTTGTTTATTTATTTAAGACGAGGGGACTGGATAGAAACAACTACTTTAAGAAAAACTTTGTTTCCCCATATTGAAGTTTAAGTTCTTTTGAATACAGTGGCAGACAGCATGTGGGGGATAGAATTGAAAACAAAAAACAATACTCTGAAAATTTTTTTATCAAAACTAATGGACAGACCATGTTTTCAACCTAAAACGAGCAGTCTTGATAACTTTTAATATATCTTACCGAATCAAATCACCATTTTAAAAACATTTTTTTTTTAATAGTCAAGTTTTTTGCGCAAAATTTATGTCTTTAATTTTAAAAAAAATGATTTTGGTTTATATACTTGAATGTTTTTTTGTTGATGATTTTCACCGATTTGTTTTTGGAATGTTTTCAAAGTTTTCAACTAATTACTAATTACCAGTTTTAACACATTGTGCTTCAAAAACAGAGACAAGAATTAAATCTGCCAATACTTTAACTTCTTCAGGTAAGCTAAGTTTTTTTCACACAGTTTTTAATTACCTCATAAATTTTAAAACATGTTCAGTTTTTTCTTCAAAACTTGGTTGCCTTGAAAAAATAGATAAAATTGCTTACAACTTGATCAAAACTGGCTGAAAAAACTTGATCAACAGTTGGGCAAAAATAGCTGGATTGATACTTGATTTACTTGCCAAAAAACACGTTTATATTTGTTGTTAAAAAACTTTAGACGCAAATTTTTTAAAATCAACTGAAAAAAAAAATTAGAACTCAAATAGCCAAGTTTTTTCTGAAGAAAACAATAGTTTTGGAAGTTTGCGGGAAATATTTTTTTCGTTGTTGTTTTTGAAAGTAAATGAAAAATCGAGCTTATTGAGCTTTGAATTTGCGCAAAATTAAACTAGACTTTTTAAAATTAACAAATAATTAAAAAGTATTAGAAGTTGTATACAACAATTTTTTTCTAAGTTAAAAAGGATTTAGGGACCAGTTTTATGCATGGTCCGACTTCAAAACACCACATAAAAGCCAAATGTAGGCAACTAAGGAAGTGAGGAATAAGGTACTAACTTCAATTCGCCATAAAATTTTCCAGTTTTTTTGTGTCTGCATGATAAAGATGCCAAAATGTTTCATTAAAGTACCGAAACTCTTTTATATTTGATTCACTTATAAAAAACAACTTCTATCAAATAGAATAAAAATTATTCAAAAAACATAAAAACTTTGAAAATTTATTTTCGATTTTGAAACCTAAAAGTCGAAAAGAAAATGTTAATCTTAATTTTTTTTTGCGTTATACAAAAGTTCAAAAGAGTTGTCACCAGAATGTACTTTATCACGTTTATTTTTTATTTTTTATAATGCTCAAACAAACTTTAAAATAAATTTTTCTTTGCTCCGAGAAAGCGACTACGGATTAAATTTTCAAATTAAGAACTTCATCCATCCCAAAAAATTTCTTAAAATTAAAACAACTGCAAGTTTGCATAAATACATATATATATATATATATATATATTTTGAAATTTCTACCTCACACGCAGTGTTAAATAGGAAGTCATAAGTTTAACTTTAGTATAAATATTAGCAAATCCTTAATTATATTGATTGCTTTCACTCATTTTTGATTGATTTTTTACGCTTACGCTACGCGTAAAAATAAGTTTTTAAGTGAACTAATTATGCCAGTTTGGCTTTAATCAAAAACCTATTATTTTACAACAAAAAATGTCAAATGAATTTTTTTGATTAAAATTCTGGATCTAGACACTAGTATATTCCTGGGTGTAAAACAGTGTTAGTCAAAAAGGGGAAACTCAACGCTACAGAAAAACAACGCGGACTCAAATATTCCTTATCACATTCTCCGAAAGTATTACGATGCCAAACTGTGTATGTTGTGAATTGTCAGCAATTGTGATTTTGCAACAAGGACTCGCTCTTTCTTCTTCTTTTGTACTTTCGTTCTCTTTGATCGTTCCGAAAATGTTTTAACATATTTGAAGACTTGTCTCCGAATTCCACCCAGACCTACACACGTCACTGGGCAGGCGCACACAAATAAGTGAGTCGAAACCATAAATGCGCATGAGTGGGAGGAGCAAGTCGCTCAAATGAAGGAGAATTAAGCATTTGCAAAAAAAAGGTTAAACTTGATTTATTTCTGCATGTTTAAGAGCCACTGAACGTCATGAAAACACATGTAGATCGTGTTGACTTTTTCAAAAAAAAATTATAAAATTTTGTTCATTTCAAATTTGAAATTGTGCGGTTCACTGATCTTATGTT